ATTTACTAAAGGAAGGATATTGAGAAATGATATTCTCTATATCTTGGGGTATCATAAGGATGCTAAAGTGTGGTCATGAAATGATCACTCATGGATGTATGGCCTAATTTTGGAGAGACAAGACATGGTATAGATGATTTTAGACTATCAATTAGACAAGGGTAAAAAGATAAGAGCCTTGGCATAATGGGTTAAGATATCAATGGTACCTTTGGGTGTCTAAATTAAGATTAAACATGTATAGCACTTGGACTAAATGTGAAGCTAGTGTGGTCTTAAGGTTGAATAGCAAATACCCTAGGCAAATAAGAACTTACAAAGGTTATAAGTGAAATTTTTCCAAGTGGTCAAAGGCGTTGTTAAGTGACTAAAGTAGAATGAAAACTTTAGTTACTTATATATAAAAGCTATATTTGTCCACATTTTCTTGCAAAAATTGATCTCCTTTCATAATGCTAGCTTGAGGTTCTATTTGTTTAGAAATCTTTAGCATAACTTGTAAGGATATAGATTATTCACCTCAAGACCATTTTTTGAATCTGGTTCATAGTCACTATTCCATGAATCATAGCTATTATCATTGCTTATGGGAGATTCTTTTAGCACATTTTTAAGATTTTATTGCACAGCTACATTAACTTGCTTCTTCTCATTACATATAATCATTATTGGTATATACCTTACATAGCCAATAAAATAAATATATTTATAAAATTTTTGAAAATTCAAAATTTAGGATAACCATCACTATTTTTCTTTAGATGCACGTTGACTATGGTGGATATCCCATAAACTATTATGAAAAGATTAATAATCATTCCAATTGGCTTCACTTGATGATCACTTGCCACTTTGATCTTCTACCTCAAGGGTTGAGTATATTTCAAAGCAAGTTTCTCTATCACTCAGTTGCTCATGATATATATGGTTACACCACCATCAACTAAAATCCTTTATACTTAAATCCTTTTGAGAATAGCTTCCATCATTAAAACATCCATGTTAGCCTTAGTAGCAAGAGTTTGCACTTTATGTACTACCATCTTTTTTCTTTCTCACTCTTATACTTTTGCAATCTTGGTCATTTGGAGTAGAGTTGAGCAATAATGATGTTTGCATAAATTTCATTTAAATCACTTATGATGGAATACTCTTTTTAACCTTTACTAATCTCCATATCTTAGATCCTAACCTTTTAACAAGGTTGTGCCACTTTGTTTTTTTTTCTTAGTAGAGCAAGTTTCCATTAGGGTAACGGGCCCAATTTCTGCCAGGGTTAATAAAATAATGTACGAATTCATCTATTTTATATATAATTTGTGTACGTAAAGGTATAATAAAAAAGTTTATATGATTACTGCTTATAAACTAATTCTTAGAAAACACTACTCACAAAATTTTAAAAGCCGCTCATTACCCAAAAAGTCTAAACTTATCCTAAGTCTGTCCATTTATGGTCTAATATTTGTCCATTTATGGCCCAATTTTTTGTCCATGAATGGCTCTAACATCATCCATTTGTTGCTGTGAGGAGGAGTGAGGGCGGCATGGGACAATAACATTCTCCAGGTAACTACAAGCAAGCCCAAAAATATTAGAGTGAAAACAAGTAAATTCTTTACCTTTATTTTTGGTGTTTACTTGGCATTAAAGATTCCAAGACTTTGTTCTTTCTCTTTTTTGTTTTTTTCTCATTGCTTCCTCTTCTTTCTCCCTTTTTTTCCAAGGCTTCCAAATTTTTCTTCCCTATTACTTCAACTTTTCTGGTTGCTACTTCTTCCCTCTCTTTTTTCTTGATGGCTGCTGCTTCTTTCTTTTTTATTGTTGCTTTTTTCTTTCCTTTTTTCCTTGTAGCCCTTTCAATTGCTTCCAATTTTTTCTGCTTCTCATGTGCTTCTTTTGCAGTGGCAATTGCTTCAACAACACTAGTGAATTTTGGACTTGTTAAAACAATTCTAGCACTAGCTTGCAACACTGGTCCAAGTCGAGGACGACTTTGCACCCTTGAAAATAATTTTGCATGCAGGTATGCCACCCTGTTGTTTTCTGATTGTCATCCAGGCACATCCACATGTTGCTCACATTGCTCAACTCGATGCTCTAGCGAAGCTCCTAGGAAACAAAGTTGTAAGTGAATGAGAATTGAGAAGTGCTTTTTACCTAGTTGCTCAAGTTGTCTAGGAAGTTCATGATGCTCAAGCTAGTCACGATCACTGCTTGCTTGCTGCTCAAGTTGCACTGGATGCTATAGATGGACCTTAGTTTGCACTGGATCCTCATGCTCCTTAGGCTGCACTAGATCTTGCTCAAGTTCTAGTTTGTGATTAAGGTGGCTGCCAATTTCTTGGTCTTCCACCTCCAAAGTGTTTTTGAAGCTTGCTTCAAAGTCGTTGAGTGATACTGTATGGAGTGTACTTGGACCAAAGTGAGTGTCCATAACATTCTTGTTCAACGGCCATAAACCACTTGCTCTAAAACCGGACTAGATGTTTACAGGTGTTAAAGCCATAGCCATGGCTCTACTAGATAATTGTGCGAGATCTTGACAATTGACTTTGTGTTCTAGATGTCCAAGACTATGTTCATCCATGCATTGCTTGAAGTAACGCTTGTATAGCCCAAAACATGCAATGTCTAACAGCTGCATGTGGTGAGAAGTATGTGCTGGAAGAAGAATCACATCTACACCTAACATTCTTGCTATGTCAAGTGCAACCTTTGTGCCATGGGATCCATGGCCATCAACAATGAGAGCATGGTGGTTTATAGGCAAGCATCCACCAGGTACTAATTTCACAAAGTGTTCAAGCCACTATAGCCACAAGTTGTCTATCATCCAGGCTTTCTTGCTGATGGCGAATGCAACTCCAACTTCACAATTTGCAATCCAATTCTGCATCCTTCGCTCACCTTTGAAGATATAAAAGTTAGGTATTTGTCGACCTACTACATTTATGGCCACTAGAACAGTCACATGCTCTATGTTGTTTTTAACGATTCGGTAGTAGGATCTTGCACGTTAGGCAGCCAACACTTTGACACCTCCAAAATGATTAGCTCAAATGCCAGTTTCATCAGCATTCCAGATGTGATCTGCCTCATAGTTGTTTCTAGTGTAAGTTGCTTCCAAGTTTTTGTAGAATTTTGCCACAGCTACTTAATTCAAGGATTTTGCTCGTTGCAGCTCCAAGGCCTTAGCGACTTTGCTACTGATCTCTAGATGTCTTTTCATAAAACCTCTGCACCATTTTAGACTTGGTCCTCCTTCTATCTAGGTAGTTACTTTGCTAGCAACTAACAGCTTTGCTGCATCTTTTAGTTGATTGAAAGTGAGTGGATAATCAATTTCAGCTCGAGCTTTCACCAGAGATGCAAGAGACTCTTCTTCCGATGATGTAAGAATGGTGGGAGGACCTGGTTGTCCTATGCTACATCCCCTTAACCAATCTCACAAAGTCATTCGAGGTATGTTGAATTCTTGAGTAACTTTTCTTTCATACATGCCATACTCTTCCACCTCATGCATAGCCTTCTTTATTGATTCTTCATTCCATGTTCTAGTTGCATGCTTCTGGCTACATGCTTTGACTGGAGGTTGACTTACAAGACATGGACAAACAGTAAAGAAGTCAAATATTTCTTTTTCTTTCAACTTGATGATCTTTTACCTTTGCACTTTCAGGGACAGGAGCTGCCAAACTTCTCTGCACCACGGGCTAGAAGCAAGTCTAGTTAAAAATCTGAAATGGAAACAGATAGTTACCTTTTGTTGAGGACAGCCCAGAATGGGGCAGCCTTTGGGAATTGGGAGTGTTTGCACACGAGCTCTTGAAAGTTGTGTTCTTTTGCCCTATAGTATGCTAGTTTCTTGTTATAACTTTTTGACCAAACAAGGAAATGGCATGCGATGTGCTTTGTGTACACATATTGTGCTAGCTGAGCTTTGTAATTGATTGAATAGTAAATCTTGTGATAGGATCTAAGAAATTATTAAGAAATAAATGTTTTTCTTCTTCAAAAGAGTGGCATACCTCAATGTGTTCTTTCCAACTTTTTCACTTTTTTTTTGCCCACTCTTGAGATATTTTGACCCTATGATGAAATGCAATTTAATGAATAGCTAAACTCAACAAATCTCTTGCTCCTACAATTTTATTAAGCTCTCTTCTAAACTCAGGAATACAGATGAAATAGAATGAATTCCTTTTCTTCTAAATAGCTAGATTTGTGATTGAAAAAAATGATGAATCATAACTTAAAGTGCCATAAAACCTGCTAAAAAATTGCCATATAATTTTCCATTTATCACATGGACATGGTTTGGGCTAGGGGTGGCCAGAATTAAAGACCCGGGCGAGAATTAAGCCCATTACCCTAGATTCAACTTTAGTTACTCCCTTCATGCAAGCACATCTTGATCTTTGGAATTAAAATATTTATTATTGCCATTTGAAGCTTTTTTAAAATTCACTTCTGGCTCTATAGGGGTGGCTTTTGTGCATAATCCTTTGGTGGTTGAATTATAAGGTGATCTTTGTGCTCGTCATCACCAGGTTCCTTGTCTCTAGCACACCACCAGGTGAGTGTGAGTTGAAATGCAGATTTTTTATCTCAAAAAATTGATTGAGATACATGTTTTGGAGATGCTTTTCTTCCAATTCTTGGGGCAAATCAATTGGCCAACAGCCGCACATTGCATGTGGATGTGGAGGAGAAACAAGAGTGGCAAGTTGTAGATCATGAGTTCATTCAGAATGTGGTTGTGTTACCCAAGGAGGTACTGTTCTTGATCAAGACACTGCCTTTCTATCACTTTCTGCAACCTAACAAGCTACTGACTTGCGTTTTTGACAACAACACTGAAGCTGAGGTTCGTGGGATTGACAGGCAGCAATCCTCATCGAAATTCTGGAAATCAATCTGCTACTTAGCGCTTCTGAATTCGCTAACCAGACCCGACCTCCTAAGCTGCTGCCTAAAAAACTCTCTCTTCCCCCATCTCAAACCTGCCTCACCAAGTTGTTGACGAAATGCAGATCGTGCTCTGGTTCGATCGGCTTCTTATACTTGGCGTCCTGGTGCCAAGCGTGCTCAGGACTCAGTACAGCCGGATACGTAGCTTCGCCAATCTTCCCAGCCCAGTCGAAATCAATGAACATGACGTCAAAAGAGCCATCAGCTCTAGACCGGAGCTTGATATTGGGAAGCCTCAAATCACCATGGACGTACCCTGTTTTATGGCCCTTGATAGCCGCAGCCTTGATGCACTCGGTTAGCCTGTTCAGAGACGCGGGATCTCGTGCACAATCCGAAACCACCTGCTTTGCATCCTGCCATCCATCCTCCTTCCGCAGATACACCATTTCAACCTGTATCCAGCCACCTCCAATGTCCACAGCACTGTGAAGACTTGGTGCCACATTCGCCTTTGCCCAAAGCTTGTGAGCTTCTGAGGAGTAGACCCGAGTGAGCTTGGCGAGTCTCGTAGGTTCCAGCAGAAACACCAGCCTTTCTTCCAGCTGCTGTATGGGCTTGTCTCTGAACATGAACGGCACTGCGGGGTGGACACGAGCTTTGGGATCATACTGGTCACAAAAGAGACGAACAGCTCTCAGGGTGGCCGCCAGCAAGTTGAGATCTTCAAACTCTTGTGCACCATAGCAGTTGACAAAACTTGTCAGCGGCTCCGCAAACACCTTCTCTGTATCCCAATCCATGACAACTGCCACGGCTTGAATGTAGGGGCATGCTAGCAAGACGAGCAAACCATACGGCTGCCGAAATCCTGTGTCCCGAGTGGACAAGAACCGCCTTCTCAAGTACTCCAGCCCCTGGAAGTAGCCATCCGCAGGCTGCAACTTGTGCTCAAACACAACCATCTGACCCTCCACCACCCCATCCCCTGGCTTGCCATCTATGTCAGTCCGTGACACAAAGCGGCAGAGGTAGCTCTGGAAGAGTTTGTTCACGGCGGGTGTCATCTGAGTAACTTCATCATCCCAGCCTACAGAGCACAGGTTCCACAATTGTTGAGCCGTATCAATGTCCACCTCTTCCACCTCAGTCGTCGCGCGTGCATTCATACGGAAGCTGAAGAAGCTGCTCTCAACCAGCGCAAGAGGCACAAGGGGACGTGATTCTGGAGGGCCCCTGTAGCAGATAAACCTGGGACCGCGTTCTTCGTCAAACTGCACTTCTCTTGCTGCACTGTGACGGACCAAGTCGGAGGGATTCTCCTCCTTACCCTCTTTTTTCTTTAGCCTAGCTACTTCCTCCAGCGGTAGCTCGTTCAGCTGCCCTTCTCCGATCACCTGAGCGACGACCGACATCGTCTTCAGCTTCCCGGCGGAAATCTTCAAGTCCGCAGCAGCAGCTGATAGAGTTTTCGCAGACTTATTGGAATTCTTCCTAACACGAGTCGACCTTGCGGACCCTGCAGTACCTGAGTTGGCCGACTTGGCCGACTTGGCCATCTCCTGCTAGGGCTAGGGCATAACGATTACAATCTTTTATGTTGAAGCATCTTATTCTTCTAACTTTGCCTCATTTTCTCTCTGTGACTTCTTAAGAAAAAATATACTGATCTATCCGGAGAACACAAGTCTAGACTTGGAGGCAGCAAGTTGACGAGGATCCAAAGCCGCCAGCACACCTGAGACTACTGTTGGGTTGTGGTATCTGGATAGAAGAAGACGAAGAAGGCATGAAACTCACTGGAGGAGGATGGTGCCATCGCGGGAGAGGGAGATGGGGGACGTGAGAGAGCCGAGGAGGAGCGGCGGCCAACATAAGGTTGTGGAGCAAAGGACCCGCTTGCATCACCGCGTCGAGGAGATGGCCTCTCTCGGGAAGAGCGCTCGTCACCACTGCGGCCTCGAGATCATCCATCGCTGCTGCATTGCGTGGGGAAGTCTTAGATAGTGGTGGATTGCCGAGAAAGAATCCAGCGGCAGCAGCGTCGGCGTGAAAAGGATGATCCAGCGTTGGAGCGCTAAGATCAAGGACCACAGTAGTGTCGTCGAGGGCTACGTCGTCGAGGAGGAAGGAGTAGTCGCCCGCTGGATCGGGGAGCTCTTCCCAGGAAGAAGTTATGGTGGCCGCGGATGGATCGAAAGCTTTTTGCCGGGCTTCGTCTCGTTCCCTTTGAGCTGCTCGCAGGAGCTCCTCGAGATGAGTGAGCTTGCAAGTGTAGATTTGCTCCTGGCTCTTGGCGGCCTGTCTCGCGGATTCCAGCTCCATGGACGTGCACGCTAGCAGATGCCGTAACTCCTCGAGGTTCTGTGAAACAAAAGAAAGTGATGTTTCACGGATCTTCTTGAGTTTTGATATACCCCACTAGCTAGAATGACCCAAGTGATGAATTCCTAGCAACAATCTTCTCAAATGAGGCGATATTTACCTCTGAGCTCCAGCATTCCAGCTCTGGAGCCGAAGTAATGCTCTCATCCATGGATGACGCGCTCCTCTCCATGGCGCTGATCGAAGAAGGGGAAGAGCATGGATTGGAAATGAGGGCTAGGGCTCTTGTCCCTCCAAAAACACATTTCAAAAGGAATACTTTCCCTTCTCGTCGTGCTGCCGTTTGAAAGGAGAATTCGAAAAGATGTAAAAGTTGTGACGGGCTTTTTTAGAAACTTTCTTTCAAGCCGCTGTAAAATCTGGAGTTCCCACCAAGATCTCTCCTTGGTTTTAAAAATTTTCCCATCTGATCGTCTCAAGGGGAAATTAAACAACATAACTTGAAATAGTGGAGAGCAAAACATAGGCAGAAGCATGGTGTGGGCTCGTTGCCAAAAGCTGCTCTGTTGCGTGGAACCCTCGAGCAGCATCATCGTGAGTTCTACACGCAGAAAGCAGTGGAAGCCACCCCAAAGCTCGGTCACCATCGCTATGCAAAGCATCGATGCTTACAATAGCTTCGGCCTCGTCCAAGAATCCAAGCCGGCCAAGCAAATCCACAGCACAGGCATTGTGAAGAGCGCTTGGCTCCAAGCCGTAGTCACTCTGAAGCCGGGAGAAATAGCTCAGGCCCGTTTCTAGAATGCCGCATTGGCTACAAAGTGTGAGAATGTTCACAAAGGTGGCCCCGTCTGGACGAACGCCTTGGAGCTCCATTTCTCGACACAAGCCCAATCCATCTCTGGCTTGAAGCTCTTCCAGCCCGTGCAGCGCGGCATAGGCAGCGGCCATGGCATTCCAGGTGACGGTGTTTTTGATCCTCATGCTTTCGAAGACTTCTTTTGCAGCATTGAGGTCACCACACTTGGCATACATGTCAAGCAAAGAAGTTCCCAGCACCACCGATTTGCTGCTCAGGTATCCATTGCTCGCCACCTCTCTGTGAAGCACTCTTCCCGTGTTTAAGTCTTGGAGAGCAGCGCAAGCATCCAAGACGCTGCTCAGTGTCATTTCGTTTGGAACCACGCCTTCCAAGTCCATATTTCTGAACAAAACGAATGCCTCGCCGTGTTGCTCCTCTTTGATGTAAACTCCAACCATGGCTGTCCATAGCACCACATCTCCTCTTCCACTACCCTTTTCCATTAGCCTTTGAAACACCATCTTTGCTTCGTCCAAGCATTGAAGGCCACAGCGCCCATACATTGTTATGACGGCCGTGCAGACCATGGCATCTAGATGAAATCCAGCTGCGTCTGCATGGCTGTGCACCATCCTTCCACGAGCCAGAGAGCCTCCACACGCCTCCAAGCACGTCACCATTGTGATTCCGTCAGCTTTCATACCCTCGGCACACATTCTCGCATAGAAGTCAAGTGCTTCGTCAAAATGCCCAAGCTGGGTATGAGCTCCAATGATCGCATTCCAGGACACAGTGTCATCTCTTCCCTGTTCTTGCATTGAGCGGAAGATGACGTTTGATTCTTGCAAACATCCACACCTTGCGTACATAGAGATGATGGAATTTGCAACATTGACACTGGCATCTGCTACTCCACTCTCAATTGCAATGCTTCCGACGAGTCTAGAATGGTAGGACAATCCAATGCAAGCACTAGAAACACTCACGAATGTTCTCTCGTTTGGTCGAAGGCCTTCTAAATTCATGGCACAAAATACTCGAAGGGCTTGATTGCTGTTCCCCGCTTGTGCAAATGAAGCTATCATGGTGTTCCATGCAGCCAAATCTTTGTAATCCATGCTGTTAAACAAAAGCCTTGCTTCTTCTAAATGCCCATTGTAGGCATATGCAGAAAAAAGCATTGTCCACGAAAACACATTGGGTTCTGGAATGGTATCAAACACCATCTTTGAATCATTCAAACAACCGCACTGTGAGTACATGTAAACCAGCAAATTCGAGACAACAATGGTGTTTTCTTGCTGCTCGAACCTGGATATCAACGAGTGCAAACGTTTGCCGAGGACTGGAGACTTCACCTCTCCACACTGCTTTGCAAGAGTTGCCAAAGCATGCCTTCTTGGAGACTTGGTGTGTAACTCGAGCGCTTCCAAGGCGTCAAGCAGCACAGCTTTCTTTCCCATACGAATGACCAGAGCATGTCATTTTTCTTCCAAGTGCCTAGATGAGTTGTGACTTTTATATGGTTATGATGCTGATATAACTGAGGGATGACAACGAGGAGTTGTGATTGATCTGCCATAGTCGAGACAAAGGAGCTGGCACAAGCTCCTAACCAGGACACGCTCGCCCAGGGATTCACACAAATCTCCCAAGTATGGGTAGGATGCAGCACAATCATTATCTGATTGGGGAACATTTTCCGTTTCTGGTTGATCATGCGCTTTGTAGATCAGTCTCACTGCAACCTATGGACGCACACACGCAAGTGGCTTCCAAGCGGTCTGCTCGTGGATAAGGGCTCCTGTGTCAGAATCTATGTGGGTAGCCATATATAGTAAATTTAAGTTCCTTTATAAGCTCCCAATGGCATCATTCATGCACCAATGCATTGGATTCAGTACATCATCACAATTGATAGTCTGTCCCCAGCCTACTTCTAGGCACCCACGGTAGTGGGCTTCCCATGTCAAATAGTATTTTGTATCGTTGAAACAAACGTCATGAATATTCTAAGTATTAATGAGCATTTTTAGGGCAGCGTATAGCACAAAAGAGAAACCAATGGCGTTTTCACAGGCAAGCATAGATCTCTCCTTCTAGCAAGCTAGCCCATCATTCTCTAAGATCTCAGTCCCTTGCTCGTGTGTGGCTATTTGAGATGCAAGATAACAAGGGATTGTTGTAGAACATGTTAATTGGCACCATCTAAAGAAAACATCGTTGTCAGCAAACCAAATCTATGCGAAGCCGCTACACACTTCGGGACAACAAGAGTGTGATTGAGCAATACCAGGAGGGACACAGTGCTTGAATATTTAAGAATAAGACATTATGAGAATATTTTAGTAATTTAACTCCCTTAATTCTCTGGCTAGTTCTTCTATTTGGCTTGTCATTGAGTAATACTAGCAGGGGCAGACAATAGTCTTTGCTCTTCTTCCTCCTCCTACTCGCCACTCAGCAGCATTCTGTGACTACATAGGCATAAACTAAGATGCAAACTCCAATAATTAAAATAAACTCAAAATTTTATAAATACTATCCGTATTTGTATCTTGTAGAACAAGTTCCCCTAAGTTATTTATATATAATACAAGACAAAGCATAAGACATTCTAACTCTTTACAACTTAATTCAATCAGCCAAACTCCACCATTTGTGCCCCATATTCCAACTTTGCCATTAATTAAAACTTGCAAATAACAATTGCTATCCTTTCCTTGAGTATCACTTGACCAATATACAGTACCTGTTTGGATATGATTAAGCATAAGATTACATTGGTTTAATGTAAGTCTGAATTTAAAATTGGATGAAATGATACTGTTTCCATCTTCAATATAAGAACCTATACTCCTTAAAGTTCCTGCTGATATTATAAAAGTGTATGGCCAACATAACTCTAGTGACAATTCATTCGTATTTAATATTTGTGGTAAATTTGGCAGTGGTTGATTAGGATTTCTTGTTTTAGGACTCTCTGTGAAATAATCAGCATATAAATATGGCTTAGTAACTCCTACATGACCATAAGCTTTAGCACGTATTGCAATCTCTATTAAATCAACCATTTCTTTATAATTATCTATTAAAACTTTACCTGTGGCATATAGCTTTTTACTTGTTCTAGATTCTATACTACAATCTGTAGACCGTCTATCACTTTGCTGAAATGTTTGAAATCTCATATATGTCAAAGGAACACTTGTAGGATATGCCCATGCAATACCTAGTTCATATTGTGTTTCATTTTGAATATTTGCAGTTGTAGGAAGATTTTTGATTGATTGTACAATTAAATCTATATGAGCATTAGAAAAATGCCATGGCAATACAGCTATCCAAATTTCAAGTCTAGATTGACAAGCAATTGCTATTAAGCTTATTATCAATATAATTAATGCTTTTGACATAACAACCAGTCACATCAAAATATTGGACATGCCTATCTATGCATAATAATACAAGTATATATGATTTTTAATGTAATGTGTACAAGTGTAGTAAACTTATTAAAATTAAGACCATTACTATTCCTTATTTACTAAGGATACAATCTAAATGCTCCATATGGCAAGGTTCTATACTTCTATTGCATTGTCTTCTAGCTTTGGTAGATTGAAGGATTTGGTTTCAAAGGAACACAAAGGGGCG